TGTGCCACTTGCTTCTTAACACTCTGCTATCTCATGACATTCTTGGAATCACTTCACAGGAAGCTGTAGCTTATTGCTTGCTACATGTATGTATTTGCTATCCAGGACTCTATTTGTGAAATTAATCTACTTGACAACCTGGTCAATTAACAGATGAAAAACAATGCCTTGAAACCATGGCTCTGTGTCTGGACTTCAGGTTGCCAACCAATCAGCAGTTTAATGTTTAAAGATTTCATGTGTACTTAATAATAAATAAATAAGCACCTATGAATAAATAAGAGATTTCTTCTATCTTTGTATGTACTTATAAAACAATTCATTTATATAATGTCTACATAGGTAAATATTTACAAAATTGATAAATTTTCTATAAACAAAACTAGATTTATAAAATAAGAAATAACCTCAAAAAGTCCCATTAACTGTCATATTCCAGTTGGTTTTGGTGTTGGTTGGTGGTCTGGTTTTGGGTTAGCAATGTTTTATTTTTTGGTAATTTTTGAGGTATGTATATGGGTTTTTTGAGAGGCAGGAGGGGGTTAAAACACCTGCTCTTTCAGTAACATGTTGAAAGGCAAATATAATTGCAATCTTCTCCACATGCTGTTAAGATGTTTTGAATCCTGTGTTTCCACAGAGATCTGAAATTACATGATTGTCTATTTCTATTTTCTTTCCTCTTGCATTCTGGAGTTATTCAGTGTGGCAATTGTGTCCTAAGCAATGGTAAATCTTTTTGTAAATGGTCTTAACTCCTTGAAGGTTCCAGATTTGGAAGTGTCTCCGAGAGACTTTTGTTTCATGAAATTGTGTGCTGCTTCTGAAAGAAAGCTACTTTACTGTAGCAGCTTCTGGGTTAAGGATGCAAGTTAATATTGATGGAAGTAAATATAGATACTTAAATGTTTTAATTTTTTTTTAGATTTGACAGTGTTTGGAGGACTGGAAATCACATTGTCTGGGGCATAGTATGTTTTATGGATAGGCTGTTCATGTTGGCCAACTGCTTATTGCTTAATTATATGTGTTAGCAAATACTGACAGGAAAGCCTGTAGATCCTTTTGATTTGAAAGTTTATCTTTTAAAAACTGGAAAATTATTTTTTTAAATCAGCATGCCATTCACTGTTTAATAGGTACTGTTAAACTGTTTCTCTTAAGTTTTAACAGTTCTGTAGAATATAGTCATAAATTAAAATTATTTAATTGATGCCTTACTGATTTGCAATTTTTCAGTAGATTAAAGAGGGGTTTTTCAGTTGAATAGTGTCAACATAAATAGGTTGAGGGCTTCACTTAACACTTCAACTGTGGGTCAAAATTAGCCATCTGAAATTCCCAGTATATTTTTGTTTCATATGTGTGATACTAATAGCAGCTACAGTTTAGGAGCACCTTTTATGCAAATCAGACACTACTGCAAACCTTTTGTTCAGCTTGCTGTATGCTACTTAATGCGGGCACTCCATAGCCAGTTTCCCTTGGTGAATACATTCAGCCTCTGGTCATGTCCTAGCTTGGGGCTCTTGCTTTTTGGAAAGGTATTGTTCAAAGAGAGGCCTACCTATCAAAGTTCAGCTAACAGTATAGAATTTGTCTTTTGTTTCCAGCCTTCCATACAATGAGTTCTTTGGTGGTGTAAGTGGCCTCACAGTGGAACAATTCAAGAAGATCAATGGTTTTCCAAATGCCTTTTGGGGATGGGGTGGAGAAGATGATGATCTTTGGAACAGGTGAGGTTTGCGTGCTCAGGTCTTTCTGTGCCATCCAACCTTTGAGGCCAATTAGGTGCTTTTTGTCCTGTCACTTGTTATATTTTTGTAATTTGTTTTAAATGGAGAAATTCTACAGAGTTTGCTTCAGAAATATCAGAATATACCATTTGACGGAATAAGTATGATGTTCTTTTTCCTTGGCCTGGGGACAACTAGCAGGTTCTTAAGAGCTAGATCTTGTAACAACAGATATAACAACAGGTAACCATAATAAGTACATTGCATCACTCTTAACTGCTAACGTTATGAAATACCATCCACAGACATGTAGTGTAAGCATGAGTTTCATGTCTTAGGGGCAGTGCTTGAGAGAGAGGTTAATTTGTGAGTATATTGATAATCCCAGAGTGGACAACAGACAACCCTGCTCATGGCATTGCCAACTGCTCACAGTGAATGAGTCTAAAGTACTCTAACTGAGTCGTTGGAAGTGTCTGCATCAGTTGTTTAGAGAAAGAATTTTATAGATAAAGAGGTTTTTTTAGAGTTTTATATATAAAGTGATATCTTTTAAAGGGCAAGTTTGTTTTTTACTTTTTTAGTGTTTTTATGCTGGAACAAGCAGGAAATATTAAATATGAAATTATTATTATTTTGCACTTTGTTTTGCCAGCTTTTTTAGTTGTTGGGTTCGGTGTGTTGCGTGTTTTTTTAGGAAGGCAATATCAGTGAACATAAAGACTTAGCCTTAAAATATTTGATGTGCATTTTCCACTTTAACTTGTATGACAAGTTGTAAGAAGATGTTTTTACAAACGTTTATGTGTTATACTGCAGGGTTCACTATGCTGGATACAATGTAACAAGACCAGAAGGGGATTTAGGGAAGTACAAATCCATTCCTCATCATCACAGAGGAGAAGTCCAGTTTTTAGGACGGTAAGAAAAACAGAAATAATCTAATACTACAGCTAAAGATGTAAATTTTTTTTTTTGCATCCACACATATGAATAAGCAGTCAGTTCTTATCAGTGTTATTTCCTCTTTGGTGCTATAATTTGTATTTTCTTAAATACATTATGTTTGCTGTTCAGATATTTTTTAATTTAACTATGAGGGAGACTAAATTTGCATGTCAGAAGATATTATCATCATAACCTTTGATCCATAATGTTGTTGTTCCATAATAGTTTGGGCATTAGTGCTGGCAGGGCTCCATTAGTTGGCTATTTTGGATATTTTGCTAAAGGAAGCAGTGCCACTAGGGCAAAGGACTCCTGCATGAAAAATGACTTTTAAAGTCCTCAAGGATTGGTTTCTTCCCTCATATTTCATTATTTTTTTGAGATACAGCTCTTCTCATTTCCTGCATATGTTGATTTAAACCTTTTCTTTTGGGGTTCCTTTCTTTTGCTACAAAGATACAAAACACTTAAACTGACCAGTAGGTTCAGGCTGCCCTGGAATGGAATAGAAACCAGAATGCAACAGATGAACTACACATAAAATTTAGAAGGTGAAACACAAAATAAAGGATTTATGATAAGTGTTTTCAGGCAACTAGAAATACTGTTCAATTCTGTCATCTTTTTCTGAGAGCATATTTTTTCTCTTTTATTCATAGTTTTGAATTATGAATAAAATTATAGGCATGCACAGTAGAGATGAGTAAATCAGTTATAGGACATGAAAATGTGTATATGGATAATTGGGGGGAGGAGAACTTTTTGTTCAATCACCTCAGATTTAGATGTTTGCAAATACAGGAGTCTCAAGAGTGAAATGAAAATAATTTCAGACATTAAATGTGTAATGAAGAATAGTGAAGATTCCTAAATCTTCGCTGAACTCCTTAGTTGAATTTTATAGCAAAAAAACATGAAGAAATTGAATAATCTTTAAAAATCTGTTTTGTTAGGAACCATGAGAAGCTTATGTATTGAATGCTTCCTTTGTTATTTAGTCCTAATGTTAACTTGTATATGTGACCATAAAATCTAATTGTATTAAAAACTTTAAAAGCTTGTTTTAAACCTAAGGTAGGTTACTTGTCAATTTCAAGGGTCTGAAAAATAGTTTCAGAATTTAAGGTATACTTGAAAATTAAATGACTGTCACAGTATCATGTCTAGCATCAGCTGAATTGTTTCTTGCAAATTTTTCTCATTTTTCTTCTTCCAACTCCTTCTGCAGATACAAACTTCTGAGGTATTCCAGAGAACGTCAGTATATTGATGGGCTGAACAATTTAGTATATACTCCTAAAATACTTGTCAGTAGATTGTATAAAAATATAACTGTTAATCTCCTACCAGAACTTGCTCCTGTTAGAGACTATTGATGGAAGTGGAATGGCAAGAATCCTACCAGAATAAACTTTTAACACTGGAAGCTACTGATAAACACTGTAAAACAAAACAAAACCAACAAACAACAGCTTAGAATTAGAGTTTTTTGGCCAACTGATGATGCATATTTGGGATGAGAAGTGATTGTATGTACTGTATGTTTTGGTCTGAAAGAAGAGCCAGCAGCTACCACTCAGATGTTTACAGCATGAGACTACTGTTCAAGCCTTCATTCTTCACACTCTCTATCTTAACTACTCAACTATATAAACTGCAGAAACAGACTTGTAGCTTCTCTGGAAGCGAGGACAGAGGCCTCTTCCAGGAATTTTTTATACTAAACTGCCCCTCCTCATATTTAAATGAATGCTTTTGTTTCTTTTTAAAATGTGTTTTGTAAATATGTGATGTAAATTAATGTGTGTACATTGCTTTTCAATTGTTCAATATTTTATGCTTCAGTATGTATTTGAGTGTGTTCTTGTTTGAATTCTATAGGAATGTTTTTATTAGCATGAAAGAACAAGTGTAAAATGTAAGTATGCTTATAAAAAGGTTATACCTTATGTGAAATGAAGGAAATATTAATTGTTGGCCAGCTATGACTGTAAACTGTTATACTAGTTTTGAGCTCTAGGCCTTCTGCATATCTATTTAGAAAAATCAAATTCTTATATGAACCTGCTAGAAAGAAAGCTTTTGATTTTATTTATTGCCAGCAAAATTTTATGATACCCTGCCTGCCATCTGAATCGTATTTATATGCATATTGCATGTGTATTACAGAAAATCTTGCAGTTGTTGCATATTATGATCTACAGGAACTCTTAACTGTATCCAAGTGTGCCACTAGTGTCAATGTCAGGGATTTTAATGCCTAAAACGATGTGTCTGGGTGCGTACAGTATTTTGGTATTGTTCTCTTTTTTTTTGTTGTTGTTGTTGTTTTTTTTTAAATTCTAGTAAACAGCACTTTTATTCCTCCAAAATCAGAAGAGCCAAAAATGTGTCTTCATTGGAAGAATATTAAAGTTAGATTTTTAAGAGAATAATAAAACATAATTCTGATAGTTGAAATGCTTGCATTGTGGGATTCTCAGAAGCACAGTGTTGGTCGTGCTGTTCTGCTGATGAGGATGGTGATGACATAAGTGGAACAGAAAGCAGGCCAATCTCAAGTGCTTTTTATAATTCCACTCATAATATATTATTAAATATAGCTATTTAAGGGCCTATCCTGGTAGAGTGCTGAGTGCTTCTATGATGCACTGAGGATCCTCAAGTCAATGACTGTCAATGAGATTGAGGTTGCACAGTCCCGCTAAGGATTGGTCCTGTCTGTTTCTCTATTTTTGTGGTGTTAAATGTATGAGTAACTAGCCTCTTTCCTTATCTTCTTATTTTCTCTTTGTTTGTAATGTTATGCTACCTAAAAGTATCCCACTGCTAAGCGTTATTATCTTTACTAATATTTTTTTACATCCCTTGTTAATACAAAGGAAAAGGACCAGGTCATTTATTTTCTATGTTAATGCGAATATAGTGACCAAGATATATTAAACGGTTTTGTTTGTCACAGTTACTCAACTCTTTAGGAACCAAAGACTGACTTCTGCTCCCATAAAGAATGGAAAGCAGTATATATAATAAGGATTGTTTATCCATAGAGTGTTCTGTAAGAGTGTTGACAAAGAATCCTAACTTTAAGTCATTATTATATGTTGGTACCTTAAATTGCTGCCACAGATGGTGTGGTGCTTTTTATATTTTGTTTGCCATAAACACCTTTTATTTCTTTGGCATCCCAGCAGCAAATTTTGCCCTTAGCCATCCTTCAGTAACGTTATGAGCTTAGCTGTAAGCATCCCAAATATTTAGTAGAAATATTATTATTTAATTTAGTAGTTGAGAACAATTGTAAGAGATATTTTATACCATACAGGAATTACCTTAATATCTACCAGTTAATCTAATATGCTTTAGGAATGATGTAATACAATGAGAATAACTAAAAGCATAAAGTGAAGAAAACATCCTTCAAAAGCATGCTTAAGAGATTTGCTCACCTCCTGATAGATTTTTCTATAACTGGGTGTATAGAACATTCTGAACCATATGGAGAAAGCTGAGATAATACACTGTATGAAAAAAATTATATCTTCAAAATAATATTAGTCTTATTTCATGGCAGATTAATACAGTTCTTTAAGAACAGTTGAATAAATTTTTAAATCCCTCATGTAATTTTGAAGTGATTTCTGGTTTTCAGTACAGGTGCACCTACAATTTCACATCTACAGTTATGAAACATCCTTTGGTATTGTAGGTCTGTACTGTTTTCTGAAGCATGCTTTTGTTCCCATTTCTTAGGTATTCTGTGAAATTTATGTGCAATTTAATGCAATCTAATTCATATATATGTATATATACTTACATATATGCATACTATATTACATATATGCTGTGGCTGAACTAATATAACTTTACAGCTTTAAGTGATTGATCATGTACGGTCCTAGAAAAATGTGAATTAAACCAGTATGTAAATGGATTGTGACATATAGCTGAGTTCTTAAAAATTTTGCATTTTGGTGCCCCAAAATGATGGATGTTAAATTATGAATTGTTGACCAACACTCTTCTCTAAAAACCTTTTATCACTTTGTTGAGAAGTTTTAGAAGTTGCCATCTAAAGTTACATCAAAATAGTGTTTGTATACTACCTGTCTGAACTCAGTACTCTTCTGTAGTGAATTTTAACATAGACAGTGCCTTCAAACCAAATAAATACAATGCAGAACTAAGAGTTGTGCACATTCCTTTTGATAATTTCATGGTTCTTGTAAAATGTAGAGAGAAGCCAATCACATAGGCTTTTGAATTGCTGACAAGGCAAATAAGGGATGTGTTCAAGGAGTGAATATGGAGGGAGAAGAAGGAGGAAGTATTTTACAAGATTCTGAAGGTCTTGCAAATTCGCAAGTAAAAACATTACAGAACTATTAAAAGTAGAATCTGGTTAATATGCTAAGATACTCTCAAGCCCATTTTCTATATTTCAAATTTAAGTAGGAGAATAAAATATAAAGTCCATTTTGCAAATAGGCAGTGTGTTGAAAAGCAAGTGCAAAATGTCCTTTTTCTTGGATCTTGCCACTCTATTTTTCTATTGTTATGTTTACTAATTGTTGTAGTGGGTTACTAATGAGCCAGCTGTTAAAAAAAATTAAAACGATCCATTGCATATCAGCAAGCGGAAGTGTACTTAAGATTATTTTATTTGTAGAGGTATGTAAGATAGGCTCAATGAAAAAATGCACTGAAACAAATGCTGGGAATTTCCTGTGTACTATCATAGTTTTGGGTTTTTTTGTTGTTCATGAAAATGTTTGTACTTTTTTATCATTGTCTTTTATGAAATATAATGTTCTAAAGATTGTGTTGGTTTGTTTTTTCTGAGATTCTGTGGAAAAGATATTATCTTTGTGGTTTGTTTCTAGACAAAATGCTAGTTTTTTTAGTGCTCAGTACCCCAAAGCAACAGCAAAAAGAAAGGACACACCTGTCCAAATTCATCAGGTTAGGCTGTGATGGGATCAGGCCTTAGGCAGGCAGGGCATTTTCCCTTTCTTTGTATTTACAGGCTTTCAGCTTTGGGCTTTATTAGTTTAAGTGACTTAACCTTTTTGCATACTTTTCCAAGACAGGGTTGTTCTTCTGTTGAATCCCCTAATGGTTCTACCCTATATATAGGAATTACTAGAATGGGAATAGAAGGATTCATCCATATTTCTTCTGGCATTAAATAGGAAACTGATTTTCTCAGGATTCATCAGTTATGCTTAATTTTGTTTGCATTTTACAGCTATTATGAAAATGTCTGATGGTTTGAGGTATGCAAGTAATTCTGGGGAGCACTTTAACTTGGGAAAGTATTTGCAGAATTTTCTGCAAATACATGAATAAACTTCTTCAAGTGATATACTTTTCTGAAACACAGGCCTCTGGTCTGTTCTTGAAAATGTTACGAGTTATGATATATTGGAAAACAGGAAAGAAGGCATTTTAAGTATCTGTAGTCTGCTTAGCATCTGTAAATGCTGTTCTGCTATTCTGTCACCTTTACCTGCTTTCACTTCTATGTCTCCAAAATCAGAATTGAGAGGTGAGTTTATCTTGATAATTATGTGAGGCCCTGAGTGAGTAATCCCATGTGACTTCATCTGTTGTGAGCTTCATTAATAAAACATAGGAGATGGTAGTGGTGGACTGTATTTTCTGTCTGCTTGCTTTTCATGAGACACCTTTCACAGATGTGTTTTGTTCAATTCCTTTGCAAGAAGAATTTAGTTTATCAGCTTCATGGAAGACTGCTTTATTCTCCGAGTCCCCATAATGAGATTTCAATACATTTTTTTTCTGAGGTTAATGTGTTTTTTTCAAATCCTAGACTTTTATTCAGAAGGGCAATACTGGCAATACAGAAATGCAGAATACTTCAATTCAGAAGACTATTTGAAAACAAAGTCAATACACTTTCTTCCTAAAGTTAACAAAGTGAATAAAAAACTTACTGTTAGTGATTTACTATGAAATCTGAAGCTGTTGATACATTCAGATACCAAGTTCTTATCATTTTTGGAAATTTTAATTTATACAACTGAATTTTCGTGCTCAATGTCAGCTTTTATTCCACTGGCTCGCTAACTACTGCTGTGGTTGAGTAAGAGAAGGGAGTGAGCACAACAGCAATCTTGTAACGCCGATTACCAGCATCATTAGCTGTGAATACCACCTGGAAAAAGGAAAAACTAATATGAGACAAAATGAGAAGTGATCTCTAGATAAAAGCCTAGATGGAACCATTGTGATCATTGTATGTAATTTCACATAAGACTTCAGAAATAATCTCACTCTGAAGTGTGACTGCTTGTAACACACAGTTTATCCACTGGTTAAATACCCTTTATTAAAGGTATAAATGTCACATTATTTAAGACTTTATTCAATTTATTTATTATCCAGATTGGCATTTCCTTGTTGGTACTCATAAACAGCAAGACTTTCTTGTTTCCTTATGAAGGTCTTCTATGAACCCCAGTAATTTTCTTTATTTAAAAAAAAAAAAAAGCTAGCCTATTTGCCCATTCTTTCAAGTATTGGAATGCTTTTGTTACTCGTACTATGTTCTCTACTTCAAGGAACAGAATTAAACAGTGCTGCACTAGCTATCATTAGGCCAGAGTATAAAACAATGAGTGTCTTTAGTTCTGATTCAAAATCTAGTAGTTAGAGAAAGACTGCATTAGTTATCTGGCCACAGCATGATAATAACCTTACATATGAATGATTTACCACAGCCCTATTAAAATCTCCCTGACCAGCACATCCTGTCCTTTGATTCCTCACTCCACATAATACGTTACTTTGTGTTGTGAGATGAGAGGTGTCAGCTGTTAAAATAGACAGTTTGATAGCATTCTGTGATGCACAGCTTGTGCTCCTTTCAACATTAATAAAAAAGATGCATATGAAACAACCAGTGAACTGCACAAAATGTGTTCTCTACTGAGACTTATTTTTAAGAAAGAAGGAACTGTAGATTAAATTAATTTCCAGTCAACCATTATCTTGATATACAGTCAATTCACTTACATGCTGTAAATCTTTCTTCTTCCCTTTTTTATTTCAGTTCCCACAGAAGGCAAGGCTGTCTAGCCTTCTAACCTTCATTATCGTCTAGTATAAGAATGTCATCTTTCATTTGTTGGAAGACAGAGAATTTAATCCAAGCGTTAGCCACCTTTTCTTCACGGAGATCAGGAACAGCTAAGCAGGTCTCTCACAGTCCAACAAACAACTAATACAGAGCTGCTGCTACTGAAAGGTCATAGGAAAGCACTAATGCCTTTGAGGGGAAGCAGACAGCCCCCAAATCCCTCAGCAGTACCTGGTTTGGAACACCTTCCTCTTAACCAGTTTATTTGTCCTAGGCAAATTAAAGAGGCATGTTGTACCTTATTTTGTTTTCTGTTGTAAACTGGGGCTCCAAGCCTCCAGAACGTATTACATACTTTTGTTTCTTTAAAAATCTAAATTATGAACATTGTCTGTAGCCAAGAAAATGTTGTGTCCAAAAGACAGATCAATGCTTTTCCCAGGGGACTTCACAGAGTACTCCACTCGTTGTCCCTCAAACACTTAGAAAAATCACAAAAACAATCATGGGCTTAAGTAGAGGTAGAAGGAATGAAAACCTCTCCATAAATAATGCACTGAGGAGCTTTGAGACTTGTGGGGAAGCTAGTAACTAGGTTCTGTCATGACTGTGTTCCTACAAAGCTTTGAGACTGTGGATTTAAAGTGTTAATGTGAAAATATTTTAAACTGAAAATAAAGTTCAACCTATGCAGTTAGTAGCTGAAGTCCACACATATTAAGTATCTTTATTCTTTGCAAATGAAGTAGAAGAAAAAAGAAATACTCACATCAGCGTGTTGGTGGAAGGGATTCAAGCCCATACTCTTCCAGTAAGAGGCTGTATCAAACTCAAGCTTGTATAACCCTGCTACAAATTGTTCTTTCGTTGTAAGCTCTGAGAGGCCTCCTCTTTCATTGGTTTGTCTGTGTAATGGTAGAAGAACACACTTTTATAGTTTGGTTAAAAACCTGAGAAAGATGCAGTTTTAGCAATTGAACTTGAGTGGTGTGTGGCTTAAGTAATAGGATGAATACTTCTATTGATCTGGAATGGCTTATGTCCATCTGTATTATGGATGCCTCAGAGCTTATCTCGGCATTTGCTACTTCCACAGTGACCACAGCAGATGGCTGCCTGCCATCTCATTAACTCTGCATGGTTTGGGGGGGAGCCAAAAACTGGCATTATTGTTCATAGACTCTTGGCAGAGTGTTGCAGTTCAATTAAATGAACCCACTCAGAGGGAAAACTTCACCACTGCTGTAAGCAACGTGCAAGCTTTATGATGCACTCACTGTGCAACTACGCAGGGTCAACTGTCCTGATTTTTCTGTGGTCTTCTTTCTTATTTAAACTCATTGAGTTTCATCAGTGTAAATATTGTTTACAGTTGGCTATTAGAAATTTGAGATCTGCTATTTGAAATGACCATAGGTCAGCTAGCAGTGAAATCTCCTGGAATTCCTTGTGGTTTGTATTGGCTTCAACAAACAGGCAGTTTTGTTTGATTTGAAGATAGTATCAGTGTTATCTAAAGCCCTAGCAATGGTATGAAGCCATATATCTTTGAACATCAGCCCATTTTGGGGTCCAGAAGCAATATTGAATGCTGTCTCTCAGATATGTCCCTTTTTGCAACACCTCTCTGTGAAATAAATTTTGTAATACTAGAAGATTTTTTATTAGGTAGGTTATTTAAACATAACAGAGCTGCCAGTGCCTGATTTTGGTATGTAAAGACCACTTACTTTTGTTCTAGCTGCCAAATATTTTCTGAACATAATTTATTCAAATTGCATGCAGAGAAAAATAATATGGTTGTACAGTGCAATACTTAAGATTTCTTTTTTCATGTAGCTTAGAAAAGAAAGTCTAGAATACCATTTATACTTTATAAGATGCTCCATAGTCAGTTATCAGAAGTTCGATATCTGTTTAATTGTCTCTTTTTTTTCCTTTGTCATAGATTGATCATTGCTAGATAACTGGCCTCTTCTCTAATAAGCTTTTTCAGATAATACCAAATGCATCTTTGATTGAAGACATATGTTACAGGACATCTTGCTAGCATTCAATTATTTACAAATTATTAAGGTTGGAGAGGTTGATTTAGTATCAGCATGACTTTTGCTTACCTTATCTTGAGGTTACTTTGCTCCTTGTTTCAAATGTTAACTGTGTTTTTGAGACTTCAATCAACATCCAGCTGTTTTGAGTATCTTTATATAGAATCTCTAAGCTCAGAAATGAAGATAAGTGAACTGAACACCCTTACTGGAAAATTTCACACATTGACAGTGATAGAATATGTGTGAAATTGTCTTCTCACTTGAGGGAGTGAGGCAATTTAAGCAGGACAACATGAATAGATTGTTTTCCCCACATTGTACAAGTATGTGTGGCCTTCAGTGTACCTGTATTTCTCAAGGACACATGACAGCAGTGTTGCTTGTGCCAGCCCACTGCCCCGTGACACCAAAGAGGCATTTGAGCAGTTTCTGCAGGAATTTATAGAAATATATCTGAGTCCAGGATTCCACTGTTGAAGTTCATGTGCTATGCCAGCTTGAGAGCCCTTTCTCACTATTTTAAAAAGTGTAATAGACTGTTAGCATACCTGGAAATGTCTCAGGTGAGACTTTGCAACTGTCATGAGGAGCTTAGTGTGGAAGTGGAATATTGCTTGGTGAATAAAGAATGCTCATTCTGTGGATCCCCTAAGAATTTTTCCAATTAAATTTCAGGCTATACTTTAAGTAATAATTGCTTTTTATTTTTTTAAGTCTTAATATTTACTAAAATAGAGGGCTATTAAAAAAGTCATCTGCATCTTAAATTATACAATTATGTTTTTCAAAAGACATGACAATATATATCTGGAGATTATTTTTTATTATTTGAGGCATGATTGCTTCTTTGTGGGGGAGAAGGTGAGAAAGATCTATCCCCAAATTTTCTTCTTTTGGCTAAGTCCTTTATCTTGAAGTAAAGTAGGCTAGCAAACATGATGTGGTATATGTTCAAAACAGTTTCTTTTTAAAACTGGTGTTGTAAGAAATGAAAATCCACTTAGAAAGATGGAAAATGGCCGATAAAGGTAGGATTCTCTACCAGAATCTTGGTTTCAAAATGTGAGAGTCTATCTGAGATACTTCTGGTAATAATGCACCCGTTCATTGCTGGGTACTAAAAGGTAATATAGACCTTTGCAACAAAGTTAAAGAGAAGTGATGACTGAATTAAAGGATGGCTTAAAATACTTCCTCCTGTTCATAAAATTTATAAAGCACTATAAAACCATTTTTGTAGTTGAAATTGAAGTACATTTAGAAGACAGTCTGCAGCAAGTTAATTGAATTGTATGTTAACTTTCCTCTGAGCAAAACAGACATCTCATTTTAGAGAATGTGGAACTGCTCTTTCAACTATTTGGCCTCTTCCCATTGCCTTTCTCATCTTTCACTCATTATTTTAGCGTGACTTACTGTGAATTCAACAGTTCCCAAGATCCATCTGCAGTTCCTTTGTATAATTTAACTGCAACATTTGTAGCTGGACTTCCTCGGACAGAATCTACAACTTTTACAGAAAGAGGACGCTTGGCATCAGGATGGTCCTGCAATAGAGAGAGAATTTTTATGTTGCAAGAAGCATGACATTTCATCATAAAACAGTAAGGAATATAATTCTCCAGATCTACAGTGGAGACCATATTTTCCATGAGAATATTGCTGTGTACTGAGGAAACATAATCTGAAGCTTTCTGGGGGCTGGATATGGTAGAGCCAGGAAGGAAGGTTTCAGGAGCTGTTGGGCATGTAGCCATGCACACCAAGGAGGCACTGCAGGTGTGAGACCACATTTCTATTTCTTCTTTGGCACAGCATAGTACACATCATCTCCAGCATGAAGCTGTAACGAAATTGTGGCCTCAACAGGAAATAATTGCATCCTCAAAGGTAGTAGCAATGTTTAAATATCTACCAACTCTTCCCCTGCATATTGGACTGGCAATTTGAGCACAGCTTTCTGGATTTGAGAGCCTCTGATACCCAGCACCATAGAGCTATCTCTGTTGCCACAGAGTTACAGTTCTGCTGTAAACATGATAAGCATCACATACGGACTCTCTCCTGACAGCATGTTGAATCAGATTTGTCAACCCTGGCAGCTACACAAGGATAGGAGAGAAAAACTTTCCATCAAATACAGGATGGCTATAGTTTCATCCAGATGCATCCATCACAAGTAGTGATTATGGCCTGATGTTTTACTTTTTCAAAAATAGAATTGAATCAGTGCTTTGACCTTACCCAATCCTGCAGATGAAGAGTGAGAAAATAGAGCTTTGTAGAAGGTGCTAATCAGGGATGATCTCAAAATAGCAGTCACTGATATCCATTTAATCATTGTAAAATTCATTGTGGTGTAGATGGTTAAAAATTAACAGCCCTCTCTTTCATGCCCTCTTACAATCTGGGATGTTCCACTGGCCAGGAACCCTGACTAGTGTCATACCAACATGTCAGCATGTATCTATACTGCCTGTATGCCCAGATTCCCCATGCTCCCTTTCTGGAGTGCAGTGGCTCCCCACTGGTGATACTCATGAGGCCTTGGCAAGAAGAGCTGCACCGCCACCTCTGATTTTCCTGACTTTTGCACCCCAGGAGTTCAATGAAACCCTAATTCCTCAACAGCATTAGTCAGGTACTATTTTCCCAAGGATGAGAGTTGAGAGGAAAAATGAGTAGTTGATGAGAGAGAGAGAGACAAGGCTGTTGCAGGAGAATTTCAGGCAGAAACATCTGAGTCTTTAGCTTGCTTTCCTGGGATAAATGAGCCCTCTGGAAGAAGAATCCTGACTTTAGATCTGCTCTTTACTTACATGGGATTAAGCTTTAGTGAGTAGAGCAGTAAGGCAGAAGTCTAGAGAAGGCATGGATTTCTTTAGCATGGGTTTTGCAACCGGAGATGAAATTCCTCATGACATAGCTTGTTCATTATGTTATGAATGGACAAGGTTTTTTGTCTAGTTAATACAAGTTTTTCCTATCTTGTTTTACGTTGCTTTTCATGTAGTTGCTGTGTCTAACGACAAGTGCTACTTCTCTACCCATAAAGTCCTCTCACTAATCACTAGAGAAGGAAAAAGAAGGACCAGAAAAGAGTAATTGCAGAGAACTACAGTCAGTACATACCGTAAAATCAAAATAATAATGAAAAAACAATAAAAGCAAATAATTGGGACTACATCGGTGGAAGGACTTCAGTCCTTAGACACTTACCAATGGTGCAGCTTCAGAACAAAGTGCCAGGCCAGCTAAGAAAACGAGAAATACAGAATGAAAAGCCATTTTGCCTACCCCTAGGAAGTCTGTGTCAGCAAGCAGAAATTGGTGGGAGCTGTGTTTTTATATCAAGGCCTCTGAAATGAAGCTACTTATCAGAAAACCCCTGTGACTTGCAACACGTAGATTCATACTATTTACTTAGTAAACAATGAGAAAATAAGTAACCCATACAAACATGAACCTTGTCTGTGAAAATAAGTCTTTTCTATTCTAGAACTTTGTCTGTGGAAATCTTGTAAACATTGCCTAGTTCAACTGCTGTGTCAATTTTCTTCAAAGAAATGTCTATTTTCTATTTTTCCCTTTTTATTGAGGAATAATTGCTATATACACCTGAGAGAAATACAAATTTTATGTCAACTCAGCAATTTCAGTGAGAAATTCTCCATGGTTATGGCTTGGTTTAACTGAGTCAGCCATGCTCATATATTAAGAGATTTCTTTCCATGTCGCTCTCCTCCCCACCTCTAATCAAATGTAGGTGGATAATCTGTGGGCTACTTCATTATCTTACACATTCCCTAGGAAGAAATCTATATTACATTTGGTTTTCAGCATGGCATCAAGATACCTACACACCAACTTCTGAAGCTCATTTTAACAGTATTTTAAGTTGTGTCTCTTGTCCCTTTGATTCAGTACAAGCTCAGGACTTCCCCCAGATAACTGCAAGTCAACCCCTACCAGAAGCATCTGGTTTAACTGAGGGAAATGGGGCTTGAAATTCAACTTTGTCTTTCTGATGTTTGCTCAGACATATGTACACGCACTCTTTTACTAGGTTTCTCCTCTCATCGGAGGGATGACTACAAGAAGAGTAGTTTTTTTCTCTTTGTTTAGGTTTTTATTCCTTTAGTATATCTATATGAACAAATTTGAGTCCTATTTGAGGGCTTAGCATAACACTTCAAATGAAACCTATCAGTTTTCAAGCTCCAGAAATATCAGGAGCCCATGAAATCTCCATACTTTATGATGAGTGCTGTTTTGAAACTATTTGCACTGCTTACAAGAGTTATGTAACTATGCTAGCACCTAGAAATCCATGAAAAAGTAACCAGTGAAATGTTAAAGGGAAGCTTTTGTAACCTGTGAATTCATTTGCCATGCTGTCATCCCAGCAGGCTCTGGGTATAAACTCCAAGGTCAGTGGCAAATGAGTGCTGCAGGTTTCTGGCTGGCATGATTTCAGTTTCTTTCTCTGTAGTTTATGTAATCCAGTTAGAACCAATTCCTCCACTTCAGAATATTTTAAATACAATACAGAAATCACTGCTAAAGCCCTCAAAGCCTTTAGTCAGTTTATCAGCAACTTTATTTGAATCACAGTCACTCTACAGCTTACCTTTTCCTACTTATAAAAATATGAAGAGACTATAAAGATGATGCTTCTCTTTTTGGACTTCTTTTTAACTATGGCTACAGATTTGACTTATTAGGGATTTAACTGGAATGGGATTTAACACATAGGGTAGCCAGATGTGTTATGTCAAATAATTGCTTTAATATCAAAAATGTTAAAAAGTGTGCTAATTGAAATTACTTCAGTACTTCCTAGACTGATTGAGCAGCCAACTTTCCTCTTGAGACATCAATGTGTTGAGGTTTACTTGAAGTTTTAAGTAAAGGTACACAGATTTCAACTCTTTCAGATCTCTGGTCATACTTATTTCAATGGTTTCTGTATTGTTTGTTCTACTGCTAGGTATTCAGAATTTCACCTATTCACCTTATGACCTAGTTGATAGTGGGACCATATTTTCTGTGTGTAAACTTTGAGTAGCACAGATGGCTTTCTTATTCTGAGTACATTTATTTGGTAATTTTTTTTAAGGTAACACAACCATATGAATTTCTTGTTTTGAGCCAATGTGTTTGGTGAGACTTCTTTAAGGCAGCGGAGGAAGATAACAAAACTAAATCAAGTGACATCCCATGTGTGTTTTTCAGATGTCCTTTGCACTTTAATGCAAATTATAATAATTTAAAAACCAAAAAATTCCACTTATTGAGTCAAAATTGTTTTAAAGAAGTAATATTTTATTGACTTGTCTGAAGTTTGCCAGGTCACAAAATGAAAAAAAAACACAACTAATGTAGCAAAAAGTTATGCATTAGCCATAGGAAAAATCTTCCTCCTAAAAGCCTATGATAGTTCTAGTGGAGGAAAGTGTGAAAAGACAGTACATGTTTATTCCTGGGGGTCAGTGACAACAGCAGTGGTTGAGTAGGAGAAAGGGCTGAGGAGAGCGGCGATGGTGTAGTGGCGGTGGCCGGAGTCGTTAGCAGTGAACACCACCTGGAAAAGGGAAAACTCCTGGTCACGATGAGCAACATACAGCCAAAGCAGCTTATTAACAACTAAGCAGCACACCCCACTTCATCTGCAGAGCACTTTGCTGGTTCTGTTCAATGCTTTTGCCCTTCTGAAGGGTAATGCTTCCCGTTACTTTGTGATTGCCAAGGACTGAGATACTTGTGGGATTTGGGCTGAGATCCACAGAGAGCCTCAGCTGCAGTGAAGCTGGATGGAAATACCACACCTGAGCCAGACAAACTGCTTTGTGATGTGGAATAGGAGGGTAAGGGGGAGGTATCTCAAATGACCAGTAAGAAAGATAGGGGTGAAATTCCACCCCTGTGTGATGTGGCCAACAAGGCAGACAGCTGAGCCCAAAGCCATTTTCTGTACTTCAGTGCCCCCTCCTGTTTTTAAGACCATTCGTGATGGGTCAGTTTTTGCATTAAGAACTGAGTGGCTAGACTTGCCAGTGCAAGGAGAGACCCTTGTCCTAAGACAATTCAAATCTGCTGCTCTTCAAATTAGTCCAATGGGACTTGGGACACCCAATTCCCAAGAAAGTATTGTCACCTGGGTTAAATTCCAGCTTTCTTTAGCCGACTATTTGATCTATTTTCTAAATCATGAAGCACTTTCTATAAGTGATCTAGAGAGTTCTCTCCTATGACCAAAGTCTAAGCAGCTGGGACATGAGGACTGTAGGCTTCAGTTGCCCTGTACACGCTCAGTCCCTGAACTCTTCCCACTTCCCAGGCTAGCTTGTTGGCCTGTAGGCTGTTATGTCAAGGAAAAGCCTCCTCAGCCTAGCTGGAACAGTCAAGGTACTTTCAAGTACCTTCTGAGATGTATCTCTTACAACTTTCAGACATCCAAATGGTTAGGAAGTACTTTTGAGATTTCTTTTTTTGACCTAAATGGCACCTCAGACTTTGTGGACCAGGGACTCAGTAACTCATTTTAGTCTTCCGCTAGGGCTCCATGAACTTGTGGTTTGAAATGTTCTACAACACCACCAGTAACTGTTCTAGACTACTTAAATTGGGGAAACTTAAATTTAATGAAAGATTAAGCCTGAAGAATTTAAACAGATTTTGGATGTGCTAAGTAAACATAATAGAATAGAGTACACAATAAATCAATGTAGCACTGAAAGCAAAGGGACAGACAGGACATTATCACATTGCTGGCCTGCTTGTGAGATTTGAGTATCAGTAAAATAGTCAACTTTTCCTTTCCTACTATGGTTATTTCTTTACTTTTTAAAATACCTTTATTTCTTAGTTGTATATATTTTTATACCTACATTTTTGGTACTGAACATCATTTAAAAAAAGACACACCAGAAAGAATAGGTTTTTTTTTCTGTAATTACTTGTCATATTAGAATTCAGGGATTTTCATGTGACTGATATAGGGAAAATACCTCTGATGTAAGCATAGCTTATTTCCTGTAAAATTAGGGTTTCCAAATCTCTCCATTCCTTCAGCACCAGTAAAAGCAGTTTGTTTGTTTGTTTGTTTTTGTTTTTCTTGTTTGTTTTTATAAAAACTGTCAGCTATTGAATAATGCAGCTCTTTTCAAGCAAGATTCCCCCCGCTGGTATGAGTGGGTGAATGGGCACAGCTACACTGGAAGAGCTGTGTCAGCATTTGCAGGAAAGTTGGCTCCTGCCTGTGGCTTAGCTGGATATTTACTGCCTCTATTTGCCCAGTGCTGTGTGGCAGTGAACCACTTCACTGAGTGCTGCTGCTCCTTCAGTATTAGAGGGCTGTGTTTGCTCTTTCCAGCTGATGCCACTAGACAGGCAGTGTGTACTGGTTATCAGTGTGCACTGGTTATCAAGGATATTTGCCACTACTCACATCAGCGTATTCATGGAATGCAGAAAGCCCGAGCGCCTTCCAGTAGGAGCTGGTGTCAAACTTCACCATGTACTTTCCCTCTACAAACTGTTCTTCGGATGTGAGATCATGAATCTCCCCGTACTCTGTGGTTTTCCTGTAATGATTAAATATCTATATAAATATTTTATACTATCATTTAGATGCTAAACAGAAAGAGTCAGTGTGGAATATTAAATAGCAGAGGCGCCAAATTCTACATTGAGCAGCCTAATCATCTGAAATAATTCCTTCCCTCTATGTAGTGGATGTTTCCATACATTGCAGAATCTGTCCTTGCTACCAACTCACCCATATACATCACAAATCAAAGCTGGCTGATCCCTCTTTTAGTATCATGTCTAACTTGTACCCAATGTTCTCTGGAACCAAAGGTTACTGTCTTAGGAGAAGGAATGTCATGATGAGAGGCAAGATGCCAAATCTCAAAATAAAACTAACCAGAGAAGAGAAATTTTATTGGAAAATTGTTTTGTTTTCCAGTTATTTGCACTGAGGGTCTGGAGTTGATTCCTATACAATGATGTGATTTTATGTGAACATTAGTGATAATGTCTTGAAAAAGCAATTTAGCATCATAAGATTTTAATAATTTGAATTACAATGCGTTGGTCAAGGAGCAGGGCCTCTTGCACTGTACCACATAAATGAGCAATAGGAATTCCCAGCTCAGAGCTTATGTGCTCAGCTCAGAACAAAAAACTGTGGATGGAGAAATTCCAGTAGCAAGAAGGAAGTATAGCTAGCACTGCACCTTATTTGTTTGAAAAGGAGGATTTTCAAGCTTTGTATGACAGCTGTTTAAATATTTACATACTCAGCTCCTAAACGCCATTTGTCTCTTTTCCCTCCTTTTACTTAATTTCTGATTTTTTAACCTTTTGTGTTTGTTTGTTTTTGTTTGGGTCTTTTTCTGCTGAAAATATTTATTTGATATTTATAGCACTTCATAACCTCATGATTTAGTTGAAGGAAAAATGAAGAAAGCCTTGACTGGGAGAACTAGTGGAACTTTCCTGTCTTATGGCAAGGAGTAGCTGTCTAGGCAGAAAACAAACTTGAGGAGGATGAGTGGAAGTGGAGAAAGCAGTGACATGCTGCTTATCTGGGACAGGATCAGTTGTGTTATTGGGCTTTTCTTTCCCAGTCCCTTTCTCCTCCTTCACCTTATTTGTAATCTTTGGTTAATGGTGGCAAATAAAAAAAGATGGAATGACAGAACTTTTGCTTAAATTAAGAGGTAGCAGGATTGAAAATCTCCTACTAATTTTAATTTTTCTTATTTGTCAAGGCTGACAAAAATCTTATTGATCCAATACAAGTGTAATCAAGTGTATCCAGGGCAGACCAAACCTGCAGAGAATCAAAGTCATATTTGAAACAAGTATCACAGTCAGTTTGTGAAATGTAAGCATCTGTTTTCTTTTAGTTTAATTAGTAATTTCTGGTTTGATCTATATTGCTTTAATAAAAGAAGAAAGAATTCATTTGTGAGTGTGCCTGAAGCTGTGAAACAGACTTACTGAGATCCTGCAGAAGTTAGCAAATCATGTACTTCTGCCTATAATCTTAATAGTCTAGTCAAGCAATTAAAAGCAAAAATGATGTCTGCCTCAAAATCCTTGTTCAGAAAAACAAATTAGTTTTAGTTTGAGAAAAGTGTGGATGGAGCTGGAATAGTGCTTTTCCTAAGGGGTAGTGCTCCAGAGTGTCAGATGTTAACCATCCAGAACAGCTGGGAGACTGGAAAAAAGAGCTCACTTGAAAAGGCATGCCTGCTACCAGAAGTTAATGGCACTTTCTTTATTTTAATTATTAAGTGGTGGCCGTTCAATGCAACTGGTCACACAAGGAAACCCTTCAGCATTACTGCTGCACTGACAGCCAACAGGACAGTGTGTGATTCAGAGCCTGGAGGGGATGAGCACAAGGCAGGGATGCTCAGTATTCAGCACTGGTAGCAAAATGCTGTGATTGCTTCTGAACAGCACTTGTATTTCTGTCTGAGTGGGGGACTAAATATAATATGGTTCCTTATTCTTAACAGGATGTGGACTGCCAGCATCTGCTGTAAGATGGACAGCTAAATTAAAAAGCTGTGCTTTTCCAGTAAAGTTACTACAGGGCCAACCCATACTGCAGTCCTGATCCTATTTTTGACTGTCTGGACCTTAGTTGTATATTGTAGCCAGATTAAATCTACACTGCCTTCACAATGATGTTTATGGACTCTTAGGATATACTGCACTGAGATAAACTGCTCTCAGATGCAGACTGATGAGGAAACATCTCAGGAACACTAGGTCTTCTTTGGAGTTACAAAAAAAGAAAAAGGAGGTTGGGGAACCCCTTCAAAATACACAGAAGTCTTTTCTTTCATGACTTGTAACCCAGGTCACATGAAAACTGTGTTTGCTGACTGCAACTCTTGAACCACATGATAAGACCTAGATTTCAAAAATCTTGTGAGGAGTGAGAAGATCAAAGCTACTCATGGGAGGATCTCATATAGAATCTAAATCACATGTTCTGCACCCTAAACCCTTCCCCAGTATGTCTTAGCTCAAGTTATCTCTTCTTGCATGTTTTTAGCTAGAGTCATTTTGAAATAAGCCTCTTAATAAAGTCAGCTCCTACTTCTAACTTCCCCTTAAACACCATTACTCAAATTCAACAGTTGCTAAGTACATTTGCTTAATTCCATGAAATGTGCTTGCAAAACATAAGAAAACAAAATGGTAAAAACAAAACTTCAACAGACATTTTTACAAAATGTAACTTTCCCATATGTATCTGCTATGTACTGTTACTTCAAAATGTTATTCACCTGACAGGAGTATTTACAGATTGTGTTCCTGGATTCATTCACATTTTCACATTTCATTTAACACAGGGAAATTCTGGCTTCCCCAAAAGAATAAAATTGTAATTGCATATGAAAACTTGGTTCAAACAACTGCCATCAGCTAAAGTCAATGGTATCACTGAAAGCAGCCTTGGTTGTGATACCAGTCAGGAAAAATGTCAAAAACTTTACCTGCAATAAAAGTTGTGATTTAATGTTCCTTCACTGCCATCCCCCAGCAAAATGGTTCTCACTTGCCTAGGGTTAATCTTCTTAATTTATGTTTAAGAAGATGTGATTAGATTTTCTTGAGTGTTTTAACCTACAGTGTCAGCAGAAGTTGCCTGAGAACCACAGGTTTTGTCTCCATGGGCTTGTTGAGAGCAGGGTTGCAAACTGAGCAAGAAAATACTGTTATGCCCTAGAAATGAGGGCATTTAATAATTACATTACATTTCTCTTATTCTTCTGTAAATTGTATTTTGTATTAGCTGTTAAACAGTACTTGATGAAACATTTTAAATAATTTGGTTTTTTAACAATAAAAGAAATGGTCACTAGGGATAAGATGTTATCCTTGTCTCCACTTTCCTTGAAAAAAAATGTGTCACTTTTCATGGAGTTTCTCTGTTCATTAAAGTACATTAATTCATTTTAGGAGTAATTTATTCCTAGGTTAACACTGAGCACTTGGGAATGGAGTTTGTTTTTTTCAATCTTGTAAACTTTCTTGCTACTTTTCAATGGGGAAAAGCATTTTTTGGTTTTCATTATATAAAACAAACCATTCAGATGGAGAAAAAGTTCTTTCTCCTTATAGTCTTCTTCTCTGGGCTTTTTTTTCCCCTGCTGCTTATGTGTAAATCATGCTATAAAAAATCCTAGTAAAAGACAGTTCAATGTACAGTAGACTCCTGTCCATTCTTGTGCTTATCATTCTGTGCTTGAATGTTCTGCTACTATTGGAAACTTCTATTAAGTTATTTAAAAATCTGTTTCAACAAAGTTTTGCAATGAAAGTTAAATGTCTAAATACCTTAGCTACTTGAATTTTAGTAAACTGTGTTCTTCTGTTACTCTTACACCTGTCACAGACTGAAGATATTATTGTCTGACCCTCTGTGATGTCCTAAGGTATTTGTAAGGATCCTGGATATCTGTTGGTATTGGTCTGTCATTCTAGTAAAACACATTCAGAGCTAGAGAAATGACCTCAAACTGCTGAGATTTTGCTTCGGTGTTGTTACAATAGCAACTTAAATAGTTACAATAGTACTCTTAAAAACTGTCTGGTCAAGGAGTTTCTTCCAACCAGCACATTTGACACACAGCAGAAGATGAATGATGAAATTATTATTTACATGTGTGCAGACAAAGCCTACAGAGAGGATTTTGTATGCGAGTGCTGCAAATAAAGCTCTATATCCATTGCATGTGAATATAGGTTTGTGTGGATTACCTATAAAATGCTGGTAAATAGGCCTTTTTTTCTTTTTCTTTCTATAGAAAGGAAAGATAATACTGAAGCTAGGAGAAAAAATAAGTATCAAAACTAGTCCCTTACAAAGATAAGATGAGCATCTGAACATATTTTTGCAATTAACATTTCAGTCAGGGATAAGTTCTACTTAAATCTAACAGATTTCAGATCAGAATTCATGTGCTGTGAACACTGATAGTGTGGCAAATGTGTCAGAAAACACATTTTGGTTTTGATCAGAGCTCCATTCCTTTAACTATTCAATTGCTTGCCCAAGGCACCCTGAAAACAGCTCCAGAAGACCACACAACTTACCCAACAGCAAAGTCCTGCCAGCTTCCATCTTCAGCCTGTTTAAAAACTTTAACGTTGACACCAGATGCAGGGCTTCCTCTGACTGCATCCAGCACTTTCACCATAAGAGGGCATTTGGAATCAACAGAGCCATGGGAGACCTTGGGGAAATGAGGAGAAGTTGTATAGGAACAGTTCACCAGGACTTCAAAAACCTTCTCCCAAAGAAAAGATAGATTCTAATTGCAGAATTACCATTCACTTAAAAGCAAGTTCTCTGCCAATGCTATTCAAAGCTAATTTCCAAACATCTATTTCTTAAGCAGGATATCTTAGAGCTTTATACTGATACTTTAGTACACACCCACAGATTGCTTGATCAATATTTAGAGTTGCTCTAAATGGCTCTATGAAAATGGTATAATGCTATACCTTTACAATATGATCATAAATATGAAAATAGCAAATTCTTTTAAGTATGACAAAGTATGTTATCTAGGGAAACCAACAAAGAAATGCATATGACATCCCAAGGCTGAAAGAATATCCCTGTCTTAGACTTCATTATATTATAAGGAATCCTTAGTCATACCTCAAAAATAGTTTTTAGTGCTTTAGAGAAGCACTTATTTGGTGAAGCTGCCTCTTTATTGAGGATATGGGATGTGAGTCATGAACAGATAGAAACAAAGAAAAATAAAAGGTCACACCACCTAGAACCCTGACCCTTCCAAAATACCTTAAAATAGGTGGGTAAACTACAAGAAAAGAAAAAAGTTTTAAGAATTCTGAAGAAAACTATAAAAAACTCCAGAAATAGCATTCTGACAAAGCCCAATGGTTACAGAATTTCATGGATGAGGAGGATGCTAGTCATCTAGAAAATCTAGGTTATCATTCTTGTAATGATTGAGTTTGAAAACAAAGAAACTCACCAGTGGTGCAGCTTCAGAGAAAAATACCAGTCCAGCTAAGAAAACAAAGAGCACAGACTGAAAGGCCATTCTGCTTGCTTTTAGTGAGCCCTGGTGCCAGCAGCCAGGAGCTGAGGGGATTTGGGATTTTATAGCCAGTCCAACAACAAAACAGGCTGCTTATTGGGTGCCCATATGACTCCAAAACTGCTGATTCAGATTATTTGCTTAGTAAATAGCCCAATCCTAGAGTCAGTCCATTGCTTCATGGCACTGCCATTGAAGTCAATGGAAGGACTGCAGGATCACCAGAGAAAAGAAAATAAGTAACGGACACAAACATGACCCTTGCCTGGGGAGATTACACTCATAGAAAGCCCTCCACAAAATAACACAAATGACCTTTGTTTGCCCAGAAATCCAACTAGTTCTAGGAGAATTTCTTTATTTTGCCTTCAAGTTGGGCATGATAATGCCCCAATGCTTTCTCTGCACCTGCCCCATGTTTCTTCTCAGTATATCCAGTTCTTTCTGAGGATCAGATCCCACATAGGGATGCAGACTCAGTACATGGGTGATGGACTTCATTCATTGGCTGGCTCAAGCAGTGCTGGATTCTCAATCAGTCTCCCTGCTTGTTGGAAAGGAGCAATGTCTCTGTTTTGAAACACAACTTAAATGGTATCTGACACAATCTGTCACCCACCAGAAGTTTGTAATGATTCATCTTGCCCAACCTTCAGATAGACACTGAGGTCTCCTCTTAGTCACTGGGAAAAGACCTGTGGAGAGCTGTCCCCCTAGGAAGCTAAAGATCTCAGAAAAATGAAATGAGTCCTCTCTTGCACCATGTACCCCAAAAGGAGCCAAGGCAGCCAGCAAAGACTGGTAGCTTTTGCTAACACCTGGCTAAGGTTCCAGGTGACAAACCTTTATTATGCTGGGAATGTTACTGTTACATGAATGTTTGTACATTTCTACATTTGTAAGTGTACAAATATACATTTCAGAGGTTTTTCAGGGGTGGACTCAGCCCCAGCCTTAGCTGGGAGAAGTCATCTGGGGGAGTTGGAATGGTATAGCTGGTTTTGTTCAGGTGCATCACATAAACTGTCCATACTGTACCTTGTGCTACTTGAGAGACAAAGAAACTGCCCTGTTTAGCAGACCCTTTTCCCCACATCCTAAACAACCCTGAATCTACACTTTCCAGGAGCTGGCACTCATTTTTTACTGATTTCACAGTATTCTAACAAAAAGCAGTTTTCTTCAATAAGATTATGATGGAAGTCTTAGAGACAAATCACGGATGGTATTCTCCAGAGGCTTTCATGCCTTCAGGCTGCTTTAGGCAGTTTTTCTCTCTAGGCAAAGTTGATTTTTGAGAAAAAAAAATCTGTAATACAGTAATCTCCTGCACTGGGATCAAAGTGCCCTTTGTCCTTACAGCAAAGCAGGCTGATACGAAGGTAACATTCTACACACATTTTGCCTGCAAGTAAAAGTCAGTGCAAGGTGCCCACCAGTAACAAACCATGTTCCAATCTAATGCTTGGGGGTTGTATTCAAATCTTGGAAAGTTAGATGCTGCTCTTAGATCTGTGCAACATATTACCTCATAATCTTTTTCCTCATTATTAGTGAATATTTCTCTGAAGCAATGAAGCTTTGTATGTCTGGAAATGATCTGTATTCTAGCGCAAGTAGGCTGTCCTGTGTTTTGCTATCAGCTGTTCTGCAAGGAGATAACACCAAGGAGTTAATATATTGGCACTTGGCTACATGAGAAATTGCTCTCCTATGAGACAATTACTTAAAAAATAATGATTTTCTTCTAGGTTTTCCTGCAAAGTAGCAGTTTCTGAAAAATCAGGTCTACAGGAATAGTACATTTCAGCTGTCCGTGTTATCTTGCTTCCCTCTTTTGTAACATTGATTGACCTTTTGGCAGCTGCTGCTTAGAGTGAATAATGAGCATGAAAAATTCTAACCCCAATATGATTTTTATCCCAATGTCCTTCGTTTGCTGTTTTTTTCAACTCTCAATATAATCCAGACAGGGATTCTTTGACTACTAGCAGGGACAGCAGTTTGAGTGGAAAATTAGACTAGACTTTGTGTGTTTGTGAATCTCCTTTCACACATTTTGCAAACAACCAGATCCTTTCTATAAGTTCTAAGACACGGGTGGACTCAGTGAGAATGCAAAAAAAGAGTATCTACTACATCTCATCTCTGATCATGAAGCATCCAGAATTTATACAGAATTCTATTAAAATCCATGCAGACCTAATTTAAAATTACTATAGCCTAATGAAAGCAATGCTAGGTTGATCTTCCCACTTCCATTGTCAGCCTCAGCTTAGTACCACAATGTGGTAATATTTTCCATAAAATGCATGTGAAGGATCAGGGATTTGGAACAGCTGGTGGACAAGGATGGCTCTCCCTTGGTAGAAAGCCAAAACGTGATTGTAGGAGGGAAAAGAAGAAAGAGGATGGATAACTACTGAGCATCCAGCAGGTGCTGATTGACTGTTGTCTGTCTGTTGTTAAATGTTCTTAAACATTTTCTGTACAACGGGATTCTGAAACTTATATACCTAATAGCTTATCCCAGATACAAAATACGAGAAGCTGAAATGAAAAGAGGCTGAGCTCTGAGATGTAAGTGGAGCTGGCAAACTCTAGGCCTTCTGAAGGAGGAGGAAGCTGCCATGAAGAGCTGGAAAGAGGGCAGAGACTGCTAGCAGGATTCATGCCACGGGAAATGTGGTGCAACACAGAGCCTTAGCACAGAGCAGTGGCAAAAATGCCCTTTTGTGAAAAAAGAGCAAACTGAGTTACTGAAAGCTCAACAGAAAGAGATATTTAAGAATTCTGGTGTGGAAGAAGCTGTAGAGTAATATAGCTAAAACAGAGATAGTATGAGGCTATAAAGGGCAAGCATCTAGGATCTAGGGGACTTGTGAAACCCAGAAGAAGCGATGCTCACCCAGCATACAGGGTTATTAGGGTGCCAGGGAAGAGAACAGCCAAGAGTCCCTGGTGTACCCAGTAACCTCAGCTTTATGGAAGCCAAAAAGTATGAGACCCCCAGTGATGGAAAAATTTAGATAATCTTCAAATATGTGAATGATTTAAGACTCATCTGAATTCCAAATCAATTGAAGTTCATCTCTGAAGAATTAGGATTAATTCCTATTTCTAATGAAAGTGTGTTCCCTGCTTGGAAGCATTAGAGGGTTCAGGTCAAGAGCAAACATGTCCTATGGCTAATACTCTTGTTTATGTCAAGGATTTTTCCCACTATGCTGTGGTATTTTTCTCTCTCTTCTATGTGTGAGACTACAGGCTTGTTTTACACAGATAATCTCCTTATTCTCTGCAGCATTCCCTTCTATTTGACTTCATTTAGAAAGCCAAATAGACTGCTTCTACATAGCAAAATGCTCAGACAGGCTGGAATACCTGACTTTGACCATAAAAAGCTGTAAGCTTCTCCTGTGACATTGGAATGAAAGGCCCTGATAGATGATAAGCCATTCAGTAATCTGGATAGAATTCCCAAACTCCCTGTTCAAAGAATTAATGAATTCCTGGGCTCTGAAAAAATCCTTTCTATAATATAGAGACCTGAATGTGACACCTTTTTTCACTTCTCTGGAGTAACATTCCATAGGGACTTACAGGAAAAGACCTGAGATTTACCTCTCAAAGGAGTTCACCTAAATTTCCTAGGTGAAAAAAGAGTCAACTCAGCTTTGTGAGTTTTACTTCAGGTGTCTGCCAGCTCATTTGCTGTGGCAGAGCTCTGGCACATAAGGAGAGTGCTCAATGCAGTAACTGTGTGAAGCCAGTGAGAAACCTTCTGTTGCTTTCACTATTTGCTAATTATACAACATTCCCCCTCTCTGCAAAGCCAGGGATAATGCTTTTCTAATTAATAAATGTGCTCAGGGAGGTTCATGTTTGAGCTTGAATTTCAATCTGTTAAGAATGGTATTAAAAAATGTGGCATTCCAGGTATGTGTGGTGTTTGCATGTTTATCAGCATTTTTCATTTTAATTTTTGCTGAGGATTATGTCTGTATTTTGAGTTTTAATGGTCATTATCTGATTTTCAGAGGACTAACGCTGCCCACTTATTTGGAAGTAAGGAAACACTACTGATCTTATGCAGAAAAATAAGGAAAACATCCTTATTTTGCACCTTAAATCATATCCAGTTACTTCAAAAGTGAGGAGGTGGATACTGTTAGCAAACAATTTTGAAGACAGATGGGTTGGTTTGGTCTTGAGGTATAAAATCACAGGGTTTTTTATAATTTCCAAGGTTGTGTCCAAGGAGCATCCTGGGACATAGCTCAAAGTCCAAACAAAGAGACATATAAATAGATGATTCTTGCTTTAGGGCATTTGTAATGTATGAATTCACCTGGCACCTGCTCTTCTCAGCAGGCTCTGAAGCATTTAAACTCCAAGGTCACTGGCACTGATCATAACTTCTACATTAGCTACCCCTATAGAGATCTTGTGATCTCTCAAAAGCGAACTTCTGTTATTCAACTTTAATATGTATTCATGTCTACATACTAATCTATCAGTCTAGACAAGTGATTTAAAAAAAACCAACCCTAATTCAGCTTATGTACAAAGCTAACTGAATATCCTTGTGCCAGAATTAATACTTCCTGTGTTTGAAAGATGCTGGAACTTGCCATGAGATCAATGTTTTTAAAGGTCAATCTATTTATTAGTAAAATGATTAGGTGGTTTACATTTTAAATTTAGCTTTTATGCCATTCTTACAGGAAGACATGCACAATAAATCTACAGCATGATGCAAATGTTCCAATAGCAAAAAGAAACCTTAACACAGGTCACTATTTTCCTGGGGTCTTGGCTAGGCTATTTTGGGAGTGTATTATATTTGTAAGTGCATTTCCATCAATTATTCATTTGTTCTCAGTGGACTGCAGATATCAAATGATTAATTAGACCACACATGACAATCAAAATCTTCCTCTAGCAATAAGGACCAAAAGAGGCTCTGTAGGGTTAAACTATAATCTTTTCTTAGGTTATATATATTTGCTAAGCTATTGCAGCTATGTACTTTGTTCATCATCTTGCTGTTCAAGATTGTAAAATGCTGAGTTTAGGGCACTTCATTCTGGTACCTAAATACAAATA